GGTAGAGTAGGGTAGAGTAGGGTAGAGTAGGGTAGAGTAGGGTAGAGTAGGGTAGAGTAGGGTAGAGTAGGGTAGAGTAGGGTAGAGTAGGGTAGAGTAGGGTAGAGTAGGGTAGAGTAGGGTTAGAGTAGGGTAGAGTAGGGTAGAGTAGGGTAGAGTAGGGTAGAGTAGGGTAGAGTAGGGTAGAGTAGGGTAGAGTAGGGTAGAGTAGGGTAGAGTAGGGTAGGAAAGTAGGAGTAGAGTAGGGTAGAGTAGGGTAGAGTAGGGTAGTAGGTAGTAGGGTAGAGTAGGGTAGTAGGGTAGAGTAGGGTAGAGTAGGAGTAGAGGTAGAGTAGGGTAGAGTAGGGTAGAGTAGGGTAGAGTAGGTAGAGTAGGGTAGAGTAGGGTAGAGTAGGGTAGAGTAGGGTAGAGTAGGGTAGAGTAGGGTAGAGTAGGGTAGAGTAGGGTAGAGTAGGGTAGAGTAGGGTAGGTAGAGTAGGGTAGGTAGAGTAGGGTAGAGTAGGGTAGAGTAGGGTAGAGTAGGGTAGAGTAGGGTAGGGTAAAGTAGGGTAGAGTAGGTTAGAGTAGGGTAGAGTAGGGTAGAGTAGGGTAGAGTAGGGTAGAGTAGGGTAGAGTAGGGTAGAGTAGGATAGAGTAGGGTAGAGTAGGGTAGAGTAGGGTAGAGTAGGGTAGAGTAGGGTAGAGTAGGGTAGAGTAGAGTAGGGTAGAGTAGGGTAGAGTAGGGTAGAGTAGGGTAGAGTAGGGTAGAGTAGGGTAGAGTAGGGTAGAGTAAGGTTATAGTAGGGTAAGAGGTAGGGTAGAGTAGGTAGAGTAGGGTAGAGTAAGGTAGAGTAGGATAGAGTAGGATAGAGTAGGGTAGAATAGGGTAGAGTAGGTGAAGTAAAGTGGGCGCGGTAAAGTGGGGGTAGAGTAGAGTAGAGTTGGGTAGATTGGGTGGTAAAGTAGGGTAATGTGAAGGGGGTAGAGTGAAGTAGTGTGGTGTAGAGTGGGAGTAGATTGAGGTATAGGGTAGAGTGAGGTAGAGTGGGGTAGAGAGCGGGTAAAGTAGTGTAAAGTATGTAAGGTAGAGTGGGTAACGTAAAGTGGCAGTAGATTGGAAAAAGACTAAGGTAGAGTGGGATTGAGTGATGTAAAGTGGGGGTGGAATGGAACAGAATGAAGTAAAGTGGGGTAAAGTGTAGTGGAGGAAGAGAGAGATATAGAGAATTAGAAGAGGTAAAATATCCATAGAATTAGACATTCCGTTGACAGTTGACACTCGGAAATATAATTGACAGGTCACTGATTTAAATATTAAATAGATTGCTAAAAGCAGGTTGTGCTAGTACTGCTGGTAGACAGCACAGTAAGCATTTCTAATCTGTCAAGTTTTTATTTTTTAGGATGTTCTTAACCGATTTTCAATGAGTACCACAAAACACACTCTCCAATCACTTTATTGTATTCTGAGCAATTTACATAAGTATTTATATCATTATCAATTACATCGCTGAGTAGCAAATGTCAACTGTCGTTGGAATGCCTACAGCCTTACCAATTATTATCTCTCTCTATCACACACAAACACACACAAATACACACGCGCGCGCGCGCACGCACGCACGCGCACGCACACGCACGCACACCTGCAATCTAGTTTCTACTTTTCTCACGTGTACGATGCTGCACGTAAATTGTTTTTTTTTTACTGCTACTTTCTTTACAAGAAATTATAGGGATTTTAAATAATAAAAAATATCAGAAAAATACAAAAACTTTTTTAAATAAGTGACAAAACGAAATAACGACAATTACGGTTACCTTCGCACGCATAAATATAGGGTAGCGAAAAAGACTGGCAATAAGGAGTTTTCTAGGAAACTAATGAATGTAAAATTGTGAAATTGTAAGGAAATGAATATGATTTTTACTGCATTTTTTAGAGCACATATTACATTTATGTGACGTCAGTGTTTGGCGTACCACTGTCATAGTAAATACTAAAAAAGTACCACATTACTTATGTAATAGAGTCCCACTCGTCACCCTAAAATACTTTGTTGCTTGACTTTTTCGCTACCCTTTATTGTGAAGAAATCATTTTTATTTTTAATTAATTATAAAAATGTTTATTTTAATTAATTTCCGCCTGATAACGTTCTGAAAAGGCTCCGTATTTTTATTTTTTAAATATTCCTATTTATGAACATTTGCAAGAGCCTTCGCAGTTTGAAATATATCATTGTTTGCTGAAGTTCGAATCCAGAATGTTATGTGAATTATCTGGGTATATTTGGTAGGTTTCAAAAGAGCACGTTTTATTGTCGAACCTGTCCGATCGTGCGGTATAATTCCAAAGTGATGTTTTGTTTCTATCCCACTAGTAACTGACCGCCTGAAAGTAATTTTATTCTACTTAGTCTACTTTGAGTACACTCTAGTGTACTTCATGGTTAAGTTAGCAAAACAGGCCCTTGAGCAACCCTAATTCAAAATGTATCGTATCAGCGCCAAACACGACTTCCTTCTTCACAGTAGGTGAAACCTGAAGCCTGTCACAGTATGTATAGAATCCGAAAAAACAATAAGAATCTATATAAGAAGCCTATAATTTCATAATTATAAATTCATTTCTTTCAAAGAAAATACCATGGTATCAGACTTTTTCGCTACCCCATATATTAATATGAAGGTAACTACATAACCAGAGAACGTTAAAAAGTACCGATTACCTACCCTAGTAAATAGTTCTGTTGCAAAGACGGGAACCTAATTATCTGTCAGGTAATAACGCTCAAATAATATAAGAGTCAGTAATGTGCCACTTTATCTAACCTATGCGACCATAATTAAACATTTAAGGGCTTAATGTTTCCGTTTATATCTTATAAACCTGAAGTGATAGCTAGGCAAATTCTAAATTGATCAAAATGCAAATTTTGTTACTTACTGTAGGAATTGCATCGGATTTAGCATATAATGCTACACAAATTAAAAGAGCAACTGCATAAACTTTCATTTTGTGTTTTTGATAGATTCAATACCTACTAAATATCTACCAGTACTTAACCTAAGTTATATTTATATAAATATATATTGATTGGATTATCTTTCGATAGGATAATTTCATTTGAAAGATATTCGTCATTCCTATTTTATTATCAGCAAAAATTATAGAGATGCGACAATAGTTAAGTAAATATTGGCAATAGGTATTTATCACATTTTGTCAGATACAGTTATGGATTTTAATACATACGAACCCCATACACATATATAACTTAAAAAGTATTAGCCACTCTTTCTCAAAGTGGTCCCATGTAGTTTATCTAAAAGAACAAATGAAAACAAAAAGTCTGTCGGCCACTTTTTTATAAGTAATCTTATCTTATATCTTAATATTATTAATTAATATGCTTTTCATGAAAATTGTTCAAAATGTCTATTTAATAATATATAATTTTAAATAAATTTTAATTTATAATGAATTCTACCTATGAAACGAAAGATAACGATTTAGACCATCCAATTTCCATCATGCCATGCATTCTGTAATCTACAGTCTACAGATACAATAATAAAAACCAACAACCGGACCTGTAGTAATGACCCATGCAGTGGCGTGCGGTAAAGTTTTTGGAAGGGGAAGCGATTGTATAAAAATACAGCAGGCCAGTAAGCACAGCGCCGCAGGCGAAAATTTTTTCTTGTATGAATGAGTTTGAATATCAAGACTACAAAGCTTCACAACAATCAGCAGAAGCAGCATACATATTTAAATACTTAAAACATTATGGTACTCATTAAGATTTCTTTGATAATGTTTGTAACTCACATACCAGTCAAAGTTACACAAAGAATTAAAATTATTTGCGAGTCGAAATACAAATGAAAGAGGAGATTTTAGGGTACTATTGGATATATTGAATACAAAGGAAGACCTAGTGCGCCTAGGAGGAACATTAAATGGTATGAGTAGCAGTAATTCATTTGAGTTTACTTGGTTATTTAAAATTTTATATAAAAATGTCATCATAAACTGTTTTCGTCTATTTTCATTTCAGTTATTCATTTCATTTATTCATTTCATTTATTCATTTCATTTATTCATTTCATTTATTCATTTCATTTATTCATTTCATTTATTCATTTCATTTATTCATTTCATTTATTCATTTCATTTATTCATTTCATTTATTCATTTCATTTATTCATTTCATTTATTCATTTCATTTATTCATTTCATTTATTCATTTCATTTATTCATTTCATTTATTCATTTCATTTATTCATTTCATTTATTCATTTCATTTATTCATTTCATTTATTCATTTCATTTATTCATTTCATTTATTCATTTCATTTATTCATTTCATTTATTCATTTCATTTATTCATTTCATTTATTCATTTCATTTATTCATTTCATTTATTCATTTCATTTATTCATTTCATTTATTCATTTCATTTATTCATTTCATTTATTCATTTCATTTATTCATTTCATTTATTCATTTCATTTATTCATTTCATTTATTCATTTCATTTATTCATTTCATTTATTCATTTCATTTATTCATTTCATTTATTCATTTCATTTATTCATTTCATTTATTCATTTCATTTATTCATTTCATTTATTCATTTCATTTATTCATTTCATTTATTCATTTCATTTATTCATTTCATTTATTCATTTCATTTATTCATTTCATTTATTCATTTCATTTATTCATTTCATTTATTCATTTCATTTATTCATTTCATTTATTCATTTCATTTATTCATTTCATTTATTCATTTCATTTATTCATTTCATTTATTCATTTCATTTATTCATTTCATTTATTCATTTCATTTATTCATTTCATTTATTCATTTCATTTATTCATTTCATTTATTCATTTCATTTATTCATTTCATTTATTCATTTCATTTATTCATTTCATTTATTCATTTCATTTATTCATTTCATTTATTCATTTCATTTATTCATTTCATTTATTCATTTCATTTATTCATTTCATTTATTCATTTCATTTATTCATTTCATTTATTCATTTCATTTATTTATTTCATTCATTTCGACTGAACTTTTTCAATTCAAGTTTAAACTGATAACATGAACGTATAACGTCTATCACTAAACTGTCCCCTGACGTTAGGATTACCGACTTACTTAGCTCGCTTTTAACTTTCTAGAGCCTTCCCGAAACGTTCAGATGTTTCTTGACGTGAAATGACATTTCTAGATATATCTAGAATATTTTTCCTTCTTCTTTTACTCGCATCTTTATTTATGGCGACCGTAGCACAGTGTAGGGTGATGAGTAACAATATTATGGATTCTTGGTGCCAGATTTCTTGAAAATCTCTGAGTCGCGTCTTTTTGACAGAAAGATACAATTAGATTTTTGTCAGATGCATGTCTCGTATTATAGCCGTGTGAAATGACAATCTTTAGATTCTCTCTTTTATGAATAGGGAGACAGTTTCTATTTTTCTATTTTCGTTTATTAATCCGTTCGCTGGCGCAATAGACACATTCCTAAGAAAGAAGGCAGTTGACCAACGGTGGTCGACAGTGTTAAGTTTTAGTTACAATAAAGCAATTTACGAGGTTGCAACGTGCTTTTTATATTCGTGTGTTTTGTATAAACAATTATTTTTATGTTCTTGTGCGTCGTTTGTACAAAAATCATTATAACAGCAAGAATGAATGATGTCCCAACTAGGGCTGCCAGATTTTCAGAAATGAAAAGCGGGATGTTTAAATTAAAAAAAAAAAACATTAATTTTAAACAAATACCTACTAAATATACAAAGATATTATTGTAGCATCAAAAAAAAACAACAAATTTCAATGCCCGATTGTACTTCTTTAGCATTTCATCCTGTGGCATGTCTTAGGTATCTTTAGTCCTGAAGCAAGTAGATATTCGTCTGATTACTCCGATCCTGATCATTTTATATCTTGTCCTTTTTGCCACATTCTCTATCATCAAATGTAGAGGGGTGAGGTTTAAGATCACCTCCATTGCGCCCGTAGGACAGGTTCTCATTGCACCAGTAATGCAAACACAGGCTAGTCTTTGTACTTTTGAGATAATAGCTCTCGTAGTAGCTAAACCAGGGCCGCTGAGAGCCGGGTCAGGCCCCGGAACAATTCTCCAGGTCGGGCCCCGCGACAATTTTATAAAAAAAATTCTAAAAAAAGTCTTCAATCAAAATTACTTCAACTATAGAATATAGAAAGAGAATTTCTTTCTTTCCTCCATGCTACAAATATTAGACTAAAAATGCTCTCACTCATCGTGAGGAAAAGAAATACATGAGAGCAAATTTTGTAAAAAATTTAGAGATCTATGGCTCTCAAAATAATGAACCCATTGCTGGTCAATTTTAATGTCTTTAAAATTTAGTGGTGGGTTTTCTAAATATGATGACAACTTCTTCTAAAAGTAGATCAATATCTACACCAATAGCAAACTCATCAGCAATTTATATGAAATCGTCCAATTTAGGGTTTGTTTTTAAATCCATCGGCCCCAGACATATAAAAGATGGCGCTTGTAGAGATTACGACGGTTGTAGATATGGGCCGAATGACCGATAATTTTTTAATATCTATTCAATGTAAATTCGGAGTAAATTAGGAAATTTCTGAAAAATCGGGAGGTTTATAGCTTAGTTTAAAAAGCGGGAGGGAGTGTGAGAAATCGGGAGGCTCCCGCCTAAATCGGGAGGTATGGCAGCCCTAGTCCCAACTACAAATTTAATTAAATATTGGTTAAGAAAGTTTGAGAGTACTGAAAATTAAATTTTCACTTGGGGTATCTTTCATTCTTGCTATGATATAAAGATTTCTGTACAAACGACGTACAAGAATGTAATAATCAATGTTTTTATAATACTCACGAATACAAAAAGTACATTGCAACATCCTAAATTACTCCACTGCAACTAAAACTTAAGCTGTCGGCCACCATTTTTGCCTTGTTTATCGGGAATGTGTCTATAGCGCCAGCGAACGGATTAATAAACCAAAATATTTCTAACATTTTTACATTAGGTATTTCACTGTTATACAGCTGATCACGAGAGTGTGAAATATTACTACACAAGTGATGTACGACCACATAATAATTTTATTAAAAAAATGTAAAACTAGGAAATCTGGCTATAAAGGTTCCATCAAGATGTGGCTGGTTTTAGATTTGTTTTTTTATGTTCATTATTGATTAACTTTTAAATCGTTTTACACATGTTTTGTCAAAATTAAAAATATTAATTAAAATAGTACAAAATAAATAGCGAAAAGAATATTGTAAGGGTTATATTATGATAAATAACATGTATTTTAAATAAATGAATAACAACAGTCGTATTTTTCGAATTTTCATATTTTTTTAAAATAAAAAAAGATAATTCACCGGGAATTGAACCATCGTCATGAAATTATCGTGAAATGCCAAGTTGAAAAGTTAGACACTAGTTTTGTCATTGGACTTATCTAATTAAATAGGTATGTGAGAGGAAAAAACAAAAATGATGTAGGTAATAATTCTTTTAATAATTTGTTACAAAGAAATATCCAAGATCATTATTGTAAAATTATTGTTAGTAATTTAATTATCAATTTAAATGGAAATTACATCAATCAAAATAGAAATTAGATGTCTGACATAAAGAACGAAGAGATTTTATCAAAAAAATTTGTTTAAAATGAAACACCTACCTCCAATTCCGATATTTAATCTAGCAAGGTAGAGCTTAATTATTATCCGTAGAGTACATTACTTTACAATGCGCAGAAACCAGATGAATTTGTAGGCAGTAGGCGTGGTCACAGACCTCCCAGCGTCTTATTTATAATACAGCACAGTTGCATTCAGTAGCGTAGTAAGCCTTTTACTTATTGCATTTCCTGTCATTGTTATTTTCTTGTGCTCAGTGTTTCAATTTGATCCAAAAAAACGTTTATTTCTTAGTTTTTGAACTATTCAATTTTGTGTGTATTTTGGTAAGTACAATTTATACCTAAATAAATCATTTAAAGAGTAAAAAAGTAAGTTTTATAAACGACC